CTGGGAGATCGTTTGGCTTTTGCACCTGCTCAGTGATAGCAAAGGGATCCAAAAGTGTTGTCCTTTATACTGTCTGCATTTACTGTGTCTGCTGAGGGGTACCAATGCACAGAGAGTTTTTTTAAAAATTTGTTATAAACCAGTAACTCCCACTCACCAGTCTGAGGTACGTCAAATCTGGCCTTAAAAGCATCAACACTTGCCACATTTTAATTATCAGACTCTACTGCTTTCTGATGCTTTTACTTCTTTCCTTTTCCTTTTCCACTTCCATATTTTATAGAACTCCACAGATCTTTGGTCTACACTGAAGCTTGGTAGTGTGTTAATGGAAAATTACCCTTGGCAGTTTTTTCTGTTTGCTTCATTTCTTCATTTCCCTAGTTCAATAGCTTTTAGCAGAGCATTTGTATCTAGAGACAGATATTATAACATGGTCCAAGTTGTGGACTGATAAAGATAAATGAGAAAATGAGTGTTTAAGAAAATAAGTTACCACCTAGTAAAGTAGTATTAACCACAAAAGGTAAAACACTATGGTCATTTAGAAGACAGTCCAGATTTCTCAGCAATATTTCAAGCTGGACTCACTTTCCTCAGCTTAGTCAGCAAAATGGAAAATGAAAATGATGGTTCATTCAAAGCACCAGGGAAACACCATCAGGGGACAAATAGAGGAGCTGGCAGGTACAAGACAAAGAAGTTTGATAAAGCAAGAGGGAATGTGGATATCAGTGGAATTAAGTTATTCTGGGAATTCAATAGTTTTGTGATCTAAAAAGAGGGAAAAAAATCTCCTGAAGCAGGAGTAATTATCCAAATTCTTTGTCCTCTGTTTTGCTCCCTCTCTCCCTAGCACCTGCCTGCCTTACAGGAAAAAGGAGCACAGAGGGGGTCAGGTGAGGCACTGCTCAGGGTATGGAGGGGGTGACGTTCCTGGTCCAACTGGTAGTGAAGAGGTATGACAAGGCACCGGAGCTGCCTGCTCTGCCGATCCTGGGAACCAGGCTCCCCCATGGGCACCACAGCTGTGAGAGGAGCAACTCGCTGTCCTCAACACCCGCTTTGGATGCCAGCTGTGATCCTAACAGCTGGCTGGGGAGATGGCTGTTGTCTTCACAGCTGGCTTTATCAAACAAGAGAAAAAGTGTTCATGTATCAGGAGAAAGACATACCAAAGGGATTTGTGGCTGGAGTTGAGGAATATGTTGCATGAAACAGCGCAGTTTGGATAGAGAGGGCTGAATGGAAGAGGTGAGGCTGGAAGGGGGGAGCATGGGAGGAAGGGTACCAGATGTGAAGACAATTATAATCATAGAATGGTATTGGTTGGAAGGGACCTTAAAGATCATCTAGATATGCTGTACTCTTAACTCGGAAAGGAGGATATTGCAGAGAAAATTGTAGCCTAAAGAAACACAAGCCTAAGAGAGTTTCTGCCCCACTTGCTACCTCAGTGTAGATTTCAGATTTTTCTACAAGAGAAATCTCAAACTTACAAGTGTCAAGTCTGCAGAATGAGGTTTTGACTGCTGCAGTAGTTGATAGGTAATGTTACAGGACATTACTCAAAGCTGTCCCTTTTTCACATACTAATAGCAAATGGAAAGAGTATAAACAATTCTAGATTTTTTTTAAATTTAGTTTGTAATTAGTAAGAGCTTAGAGTTTGTTATGCCTGTTTGTTTGTTTTTAATTTCCTTCTACTAATAAGTCAAATGCATTGAAATTGTGAAAAGACCTAGAGCAAATACCCAGGCAACCTGACTTCAAACAGGAACGGGAGTGCTATTTCTATTTGCTTCACCTTAAAATTTAACAGGGATAGCTATTTATTACAGACCTTCATCTAGTAACCTGATGTGTTTCTAGTTAAGGTCTATCACCTAAGATTCAGTCACTTCAAGGAGCTCACTGAAAGAGGATTAAAAATGAGAGGTGAAGTTGTTCTGCTACTCTGAATTGAAGCAGTCTTGGTTATTTCTGCTCTTTTGTGGAAAATGCTTCCTAAATCTTTTTGAGAGTGGCTAGGGATGGTACAACAAAATGCTGGAGTGTAAATATGCTCCTTTCCAAGTGTCTAAACATCAAATATGAAATTCAGCAGTATAATCTGCTTGTCACTAGAGAATTCATTCTTCCTGCCTCCTTGGTACAGCTGCTAAGTCTCCTCTTCCTCGCAATTTAAAAACATAACAAACTTCATATAGTGTCATTCATGAGGCCTTGTTGTGAAAAAGCAGCTTAGTAAGAACTTAGTTCAGTTTTATGGTGAGAAAATCAAGGCTGCTGTTGGTCTTTGGCTCATATTAAGCTCAGGAAACAGGATGGGCTGTGTTATTGTGGTGGTAGGTCACAAGGCTGCTGTTGGTCTTTGGCTCATATTAAACGGGATGGGCTGTGTTATTGTGGTGGTAGGTCGTGAAGAAAGAAGCAGTCACAGGATGGGAATGCTGTGATGAGTTTTAGCAGCTACTCTGAGCTATGAGTCTGAGTTAATAGGCATGAAAGCATGGCCAGCAGTGGTGTTATGTCCTCCCTCGGTAGCTGCAAACCAAATGACAACAGCATTTGCAGTTGATCTTGGACAGAGTGAGGTGCTTCTGTGGTGACAAGCATGTGCATCACTTGTGAGCTACTCACCCATTAAAAACAAGTGCAACCTTGTACTATGAGGGAGGTGTGACTTGTCAATGTAGAGTTCTTTAACCACTGCTTGTGGTGGTTCCTATCTTGAACTAGCTCCAGTGAACCCCTGCGGCTGCAGCAGCAAAGAGGATGGGGAGCAGAGCAAAGTACATTGGTCTGTTTTAAGTATCTATTGTCTGTCTTGGGTCCTTGTTCCTGGAAGTGAGAAGCCCTGTAAGACACTCGCTCTAAGAAGGATTTGCAAAAAGGGAGGATTTGTTGTCCTAGAAGCCTTTTTCATGTTTAAAAGTTGCTGTTCAAGAGAACAGAAAGGCCATTGTAAGTAGAATAAGCCTATAAGTGGCTGGCTTGCATCCTTTAAAACAGCTCAGCTGATCATTGCTGTGAACAAACATGAAATTGAAATGTAGTTAGTTAAGCCTCCCAATTTTTTCTTTATCCCCTCACCATAAGCATTCTTTCTTCAATTTTACAACTTCTCACTACATTACATCTAATGTTTACTCTCTTTATTATATAGGAAACAGAAAACACACCAGAAAGCAACCCCCTGCTCCTCCTCTTCTCTTCACAGTCTCCTAGTAAATAAAACAAGGAGAGTTATCTGTGGCAATTAGAGCCTATAATTTGATGAATGGTTAAGATATTTACATGACATCACACTTTGCTCTCATTGGTTAGCTTTTCTAGTTGCTGCATTTTAAAATAAGCTTCTCAGCTTTGAAGATGAGAGAAGCAGACAAATTTGTTAATAAAAGACAGAATGCTGCCATTCTAAAACTCTCTCCTTTGTCATATGGTATATGTGAGGACATCAGTTGCCAGAAAAACAATCAAGATCTGCAGATAACACATTCATTTGTTGGTGCTATTTTAAAGGTTATGTACATGAAAGTCACTGATATCACACATTTTCTATGTTCTAATAGATCTTCCTTTGTCTTACTCTTTGTTTCACAGCTCTGATCTCTTATCTTTGAAAGAATTTTTCTGAAGCCGTTGTATTGCATTCACTTGGCTTTACAAAACTTCTGAGTAATGCAGTGCTAAAGACATCAGGATATTTCTATCTGGACATTTACTAGAGTTGCTTCTAATTTATTATGAATTAACCACTAATCCTCGTAATTGTTATTACTTTTCTTTTATCTCAGTTCTTCATTATAAAATCATAAAGTGGAATCTTGGACTCACTGAACTCAGTTTCATCTGAGGAGATTTGGTTCTTTCTGAAGCCAGTTGAAATTTTCTGCTCATACGGATGGAAACTGTCAATATAGATGAGCTTAGGCTAAAGAAATTAATAAATCCTATTTGCTATTCAAATCTAACTTTCCCTCCAATCTGTATGAGAAATCTAACTATGAGAAGAAATGCTAATATCCCTTTTAAAGTTTATTTTGCTTTGCAAGAGTTCCACTTGTTTATGAGCACACTGATGGCCACGTTCATTGTGTAGACTACAGAATGTGAAGCTAGAATATGAATTTAGATTTCCAGAAAGCACCTGCCCATGTTGCTAGCGTTCTTGTAATTGTTCAAGTAGTTGTTCAGCAAATTGTCTGAAGCCACTTCACTCTTTTCAAAATGTTCTCCTCTAATTTCAAGAGGGAGTTTCTCCACACGTGGTTGAAAGACACCTAAGGGAGTTTTCACAGCTGCTACGAGTGTTGCAGCTTCTATTGGGTGAACGTCAGTTCATCAGCACGGCAGACCTCACAAGCACAATCATCACTTAAAAATGAAACAGATTTGGTAATAGGAAGCTTAACAATTGCTCCTGTTGAACATTCATCGACTGTATGCACTGAAAATAAACCCATTAAACAATAGATTTCAGTGTTCTAGAAAATGTAGGTAGTATGTGTTGAAATAGAGAAATACTTAAACTTTAATATACCCTGTACTTCACATTTTTGCTTCCTTCCACTGAGTTAACTTTTTAATCTTTGCTCATTCTATTCATAAAGATGCGTAAGTATACTGATAGCTGATTTCTTTTGCTCTTACTACAGGTGGTTTACAAGCCCAACTACTGTAAATGCTTTTTATAGTGCATCTACCAACCAAATCAGTGAGTATTTGACTTCTGAACCTCCTTGTAAAGTGCCTGTTTGGGAAATGTAGGTATCAAACTTCAGATAATATCTGTATGGTTTGTGTGTTTTTTGACTGAAAATCAAAACCTCAAACCTGGTAATTCACCTGTGAAATATCTTAAGTGAGAGGGTGGTTCTGGAAAAGAAAAAAGGCTTCCACAAATTTGAATTACTATTGCGTAATGAGTTACCCCATGTCAGCTCATTTGCAGTGATCACGTGTGTGTGTACTCTGTCCATTGCGAATGATAGCTTAAATAACTTTTACTAAAGCTTCATGCTTCTGTATTTAGTTTTCTGTAGCAAAAATATGTGTACACATATGTTATTAAATATACCGTAACTCTTTAAGTGATAGCGACTCCGTCCTCTAGCATATAAGAAATATGTTGAAATAAACGTGACTAGAGGAGACTGTGATATAGACCAGAAAACCCCAGAAGTGGTGTCCAGCAGATTTGTTCAATACCTTCAAGGACAAGAAGTGGTATCTGTAGTGAACTTAAAATTCTTACCTGTATAGTTTGATTAAATTACCTTGTATGTTCAGTACAACCTGTCTTATGCTTATATTAGTTACTGGTTGTTTTTAGAGAGCATAAATCCTGTTTTGGAAGCATATGAGGTAAAAGAGCTGAGTTTTTCAAGGATGTGTATGGATTTGGATGTTCATTCCTATTTGCTTTAATGGGACTTTGCATAGAAAATTTCTAACTGGCTTTAAAAGTCTGTGCCAGTATCTCTGGGTACAACAGCGTTATCTTTACCCTGACACTTCTTTTCGCTCTTACTAACTTTGCAAGTTAAATCAGCCTTCTTGTTCTGTGCTGTCAAGGTCTGAAAGGTGGTCAACTCCGTGGTCTTGATCCCCAAGGACAGGAGTGTCAAAAATTGCTGAGTGATTCCCCCTTTTTCTCCTGAATCTCTTTTGGTCACAGGAAGTAGTAGTTTTTGAAAGGCGCAAAAATAATTGTATCACACTGAAGAGGTTACAGCAGAAGACAGGCAATCTGGATCTGCTCGTACCTTCTCCTACTGATTTCTGTAAACAATTTTTGCCTTCAGACCACTCACTCAAATTCTTTTGTGTCTATGTGAGCTCATTTATAAAGTGTGTGTGATAATTAGGCAGTTCTTTCATTAAAATTAGTTCTAGGCCTAGACCACTCTACCTCACTTAGAGGGCTGCCATCATTAAGCATCCATATTTTTGTTGCTCGTCTGAGGGAGCACATGAGGCAGGCTTCCCTGAGC